GTAAAGGCATTGAGCCCATTTCCACCAATGATTATGAATAGACATGTCACAAGGAAGCTCTGTACATTAACGCAATCCTGACAGATCTGGTGTTTTCAATACTCTACAGAGAAGTTCTGTAACTGGATTTACAGAGTCTCAAATTGGGAATTTATTGAGGAATAAATACATTCAGATCATCACACTTATCCATCTCCTTCAAAAAGATTGTTTTTCCCTGGAAATTGGCCTGGAATTTAAACAGGGCTTTTGTTCCCTTTAGAATAGTGAACAGCTCTCTAGAGAATAAAACGCTTTGATAACAGTGGGACAAGATAGAAGAGATAACATAGGTACATTTAACTAACTGGAAATGTTTTTAGGACTTGTCAAACTGAGCATCCCAATTGCTTGCCCTGTTATGATCATCCTGGGATCCGAAGTAGCACAGGGCTGTGTGCCTATTACTCATATCATTAAAAGGGTCTCACTGCAAGTGATGAAGGGTACTCAAGCACACATTGACCTACAGAAAGCTTGTCGACCGCAGGTACAGAGGTCCTTAGTCATGAGATAATTGTGCTGAGAGAGCTCTTCACCTTCAAACAAATAGAATGAAGAGAAAACCTTTTGAACCAAACAAACCGATAGACAGGCTTGACCGCAGGTACAGAGGTCCTTAGTCATGAGATAATTGTGCTGAGAGAGCTCTTCACCTTCAAACAAATAGAATGAAGAGAAAACCTTTTGAACCAAACAAACCGATAGACAGGCTTGCCTCTTGCAATCGATTCATTTAATTGAATCTTTGATAAAAGCACAACACTATTTAGATTTTTTTAAATTATTGATTTCGCTAATTGAAAACAACTTCACTCTCCCTGCTCCCTCTTCGTCATGTATAAACCTTGCAGCCAACCTTAAGTGAGAGGACAGACTAGCAAACTGCTCTCAGACCTCTGCATCAAACACACCTCTCGATTTCTGTTAGGAAATAATATTGGTGGATACAGTACATAGTTTGGGGCATGACATATGCAAGTGACTGCCCGGATGGTGGAAGGCGAACTGGATGGACCTTGGTCTTCTTTCACCTCGCAAATTCTTCTGTTCTCATTTTCTGTCTCTTCCTGGAATAAAATGGTCTGTCCTTTACTTGAGGGAATTGGCAGGAGAGGATGACAACTGTACCTCCCTGGACTCACCTAGTCCGTCATGAAATTACTGATTGCCGATTTTTTTTTCAGCTTTTGTATCTTATGCGATTTGAAAGAGAAATTTCTTCCCGTTATGGTTGTCCTCTGCAGGAGATTGTGACAAACAACAATTTTGAGTGAACCACATCGCCATTTTAAGCTTGTTTTCACAAAATAAAATAGATCTCTCTGTTCCACTGCTTTTGTCAGTAAAAAAGTAATATTTTAAATGATTCCTTTTTAGCTCTTGTTAATATTCACTGCTGCATCCATCTGAATAGAGAAACATAAATAAATGTTTTCCCAATGTCCTCCTATCTGCAAAGAGAATATTGTGCAATCACTGCTTAATGTACAGTATTTGTGAAAAAATACTATTTTCTAGTGCCAGTTCATGCCATTATACTGTCGGTTTTAAGGACAACCATTGTTTTTTGTGTGACTCACATAGACGCAGCAGTAGCTTCTAACCTTTCCACTAATTATACAGATTTTCTCTGCATGAATTATCAATTAATATGCCTGAAGCACCACAGTCAATCTCAGCCTGATATTAATGACAATCAGGTGAAAATCAGATCGAAACTAAATTTTGTAAATGTTATGAACGAAAAAGAGAAAAAATAGAGACGTCAGAGCCAATCAATTAATGTGAACACCAGACTTGCTGTATTTTGTTTGTGTGTGTGTGTGTGGGGGGGATGGGAAGTACACATAGAATATACTTCACAGAATATTCTGTAAACTGAATTGACTGTGTATTTTGTGTGTGTTTCGCCCACCAATTCGCTTTACAGTAGATTCTGTGAAGCACTTTGAGACATCTCAATGACAGGATAAGGCGCTGTATCAAACGCAAGGATTATTATTATTATTATTATTATATACTTACCAAGAGACTTCTATGGACTTCTACAAATGACAATATTTTCACCACTTTGCCATTGTGTCAGCATCAAGCCTGACCACTGAGGGCTAATGCGTTTTTTTTCTTATTTTCTTTTAACAAAATCAAGAGTATTTAAAACTAAGATAAACACACAGGAGAACTATTATATCATGACTCAACAGAGAAGAGTGATAGTTATCATTTGTAGTGGTTTGCAGTTACATCTATCCTGAGGATATTCTGGCAGTTGCAATTGAGATCACACCAAATAAAATACACTCTGCCCTTTGGTATACTCCACAGTGCAGTCAATATTTTATACTGTAGTTTCTGGACCTATAAAGATGATAAAAAGGTATCTTATATTTTGAGTGGATGGGTAATATAACTAATCTAGGTATTACTAAAGAAAAAATCATTTTGTAAAGTAAATTGACATTTTCGAGCGGTTGAGAAATGGACCATTAAGTTCTAATCTGTTTAGCTCATTCACTGCTGGCGCTGTCATTTGTAACAGTGACAGCTTCACCATCACGCTGAAGGAAGGAATGACTTGCAGCAAAGTGCGGAGCCTTTCAATAGAGATGAACAGCCAAACCAATTTGAGCCCGCTTCTCTCAGATGAAACCTATCAAATCCAAGATGGAAATTTGAAGTCCTCCAGATGCTTGCGATTGTCTTCAAGGTCCTCAATATTGTGTAATAATATAATAAACCTTTTATTTAAACCAGCGGCTTATCACATTGTTGGGACGTCTCGAAGACCTAATAAGGCGCTATATCAAATGCAAGGATTATTATTATTAATAATCCTTGATTCTATATGATTGGTGGAAAATCCTCTGAAATGCCATTAGAAAAGGCGTTTGCTGCCAAACTGAAATATATAGAACATTAACATAGTTTAATGAATAAGACTTATTGGGGGTTATTCTCACTTGTTGAGGCTGACAACTGTTGACACATGAAGCGAACCGGATTAGTTGAGTTACTATGTCAGACATTAGTAATAATCCTTGCATTTGATATATCACCTTATCATGTCTTCGAGATGTCTCAAAGCGCTACACAGAGTATACTGTAAAGTGAATTGACTGTATATTTTGTGGGTGAAAAAAAAGGAGAACGGGATAAAAAAAAGACAGATTATTTTATATGTTAGTTTTTCAAGTAAACCGCACCACTGACTCTCTCAGTCAGCATGAGCTGCAATAGATCAGTCCTATAAATCTCATCCCTGCCTGGATCAACTGGAAACACATTTTAAAGCAGACGGGATTCGACGACTGTACAATAACTGATTCTTGTCAAACCAATTCCTCTGATAATGTGAACACAAATTACTGCCTACACCAAAATATTGCAATATACAGTACGTATGAAAAGAAATAGACAAGAAAAAGAGTAGCACGTGGAAAACCAAGTAATTGCGAGTACATCATTCATTTACCACAATCCTCAAGCCTGGATTTAATCGAAGGCGAGGGAGGTACAGTATCGATTTAGGTTTCTTTTTCACCACAACATGAAGTACTTTTAAGTGGGGAAAGAGGGTGCTGATTAGAAGCTACTTGGCTGCAGGCAATTCAACTGAAACTCAATTCAATTTTGCAACCTCCTGCAAGGCTTTGTTCTGAAGGTTATATCACTGGTGTAGAAATAATTACTTTCAAGTGTTGTGACTGTGTTGGAGGCAGACAGCACCCTTTTTTTTTCAAATTATGCTGCTGGATCTTTAAAGACCAGGTATAAACTTGTTTTTTTTAAAAGCCTTGTCAGAAAGATGATACCTCCATAAATAGGTAATAATAATAATAATCCTTGGATTTGATATAGCGCCTTATGAAGCCTTCAAGCCGTCTCACAGCTCTTCACAGAATATACTGCACAGTGACCGTATATTTTGTGGGCGAAACGGGGCAGTCATATTTGGTTGAACGCTGTGCTTATTAAGGTGACGGGTGCTGTGATAAAATTGTTGCCAAAACAGAAGGAAACGACTTCGGTCCTTCACATCTGTGACGATCAACGTTTTCGATGCGGGCACTTTTCACCAACTTCACGCCCTGCCGCAGTGCTTGCTTCGCGGCCGGATCCCAAAGTTAACCGAGCGCAAATCCCAGAGTATTGATCAATCGTCGTACTCGCCTCGAGCCAACTCTGGCCTTCCAGTTTTCCTTTTAGCCCCGTTCGCTTCGCGGGATAGATCGAGCGAAGTGCTCTCAGGCGTCGCGAAGACAGGAAGGATTACAGTGTATTATATGATGATATTAAGGACCAAAACTAGCAGGAGGTGTGGCTCAGGTGCCTCCCCCCCCCCCCACCCTCCTTCGCCAGCCTTAGACACGTGTTGTCGCCTCTCCAATCTCCAGTATAAAACAGGTCTGGAGCAGAGGTGGAGTGTGATCATTAACCACCAGACACCCACAGCTCAGTCATTAACACTCCTATCCAGGAGAGGAGATCGCTGTCTGATTTTTTTTTGGGTGAAAATAACAGTAATACCCTTTTTCCAGCAGCATTCTCATTCTGCTGATTGCATTCGATTGCTGCCCATCCACTCACTCACTCACTCTCACTCACCCACTCTCTCACTCACTCACTCTCTCTCACTCACTCACTCACTCACTCACTCACTCACCCACCCACTCACTCTCACTCACTCACTCACCCACTCACTCACTCTCTCTCACTCACTCATTCACTCACTCACTCAATCACTCTCACACACACACTCTCACTCACTCACTCACTCACTCACTCACACACACACTCACTCACCCACACTCTCACTCACTCACTCACTCTCATTCACTCACACACTCACTGTCACTCACTCACACACTCACTCTCACTCACTCACACACACACTCACTCTCACTCACTCACTCACACACTCACTCATTCCCTCACTCCCTTCACCCATGTCTGGGATTCCCATGGACCTGGGACACGGATCCCCTCCCGGTCCCCCGGAGATGGCGAGTGGCTGTAACCTGAGCTCGTCCCCAGTGAGCGGCAGTGAGGAGAGTGACCCTCCGCTCCTGACCGACGCCTGGATGGTCCCTCTCTTCTTCGGACTGATCATGTTGACCGGGATGATCGGGAACTCTCTGGTCATCCACATCATCACCAAACACCGGCAGATGAGGACAGCCACGAACTTCTACATCGGTAAGTACTCCCTCACTCCCTCACCCACTCCCTCACTCCCTCCCTCACTCCCTCCCTCACTCCCTCACTCACTCACTCCATCACCCACTCACTCACTCACTCACTCCCTCCCTCACTCACTCACTCCCTCACTCACCCACTCCCTCCCTCCCTCACCCACTCCCTCCCTCCCGCCCTCCCTCACTCACTCCCTCCCTCACTCTGTCTGTGTCTCTAACCAGAGCAATAGATGCAAAGGGATGGGATTCGGAACTGTCAATGTAATTTAATTTGATGATAATCCTTGCAATTTATTCAATAACAAATGCAAGGATTATTATTGTTGCTGTTAAAGCGGTGAGAATGAAATGATAACACGGGGTAAAGGGATCTGTGCCTAAAGAAAGGAATAGATGCAATGGATGGGAATAGGAACCGTTTGGATCTCAAACCGAATGCTCAGGAAGAGGGTGAGAGAGAGAGAGAGAGAGAGAGAGAAAGAGAGAAAAAAACGTTTATAGATGATAAGAATATCAAGAAAATAAAGAAGAGTTTGTGCATTATATAGCTATGTGTGAAATATGACTAGGAGGCGAAGGTAATATATATTCTGATGGTGACAGCAAAATATACATTACCTTCTCAGGTATCACCCACTTGTTAGTTCCTTTGCAAAAATAAATCTCTGAAGTGTAGAAGTTTAAACACTCTGGTCCTTTCTTCTTGAATTTAAGACAGACTAACATGGAGAGACTCACCTCTAAGCTATCAGTTGCTTAACTCTGTGAGTGCCACAGTCCTACTTCTAAATTGATATTGTTTTTTAAACAGGTGCACTGGCATTACACCAAATTAAGGTGTTCATTTTTCTTCCCCTTGAATTCCTCCACACGAATAATTAAAGAGCTCTCTTTCTCTTTCTCTTTCGCTCGTTAAAAAAAGAACCTTTCCCAACTGTTGAGTGTGATGGAAACACAATGACCAACCTCTTCATCTTGTGATACCACATGGAGAGTGTTAATAATGTTTTATCTGGCGAGCTGTCGTTACTTTAGCAATGAAGAACCTGTCTCCCCCCATTGCTGTGCGGAATTGTCTGTTGTGTTTCGCCCACAAAATGTACAGTCGATTCACTTTACAGTAAATTCCGTGAAGAGTTTTAAGACGTCTCCACAACACGATAAGGCACTATATCAAATGTAAGGATTATTATTATTATTCAACAGATAAAACAGAATCGTACATCTTGTCTTTAAACAATACCATCTGACTTTCAGTATGGTCAAAATAAATGTTCAAATAACACTGAATGAGGATGATAAAATAACATTTTTTAAAAAAAAGTTGTTTTATTAATTTATTGTGTTGTGCGTGAGAACGAGCACGTATATGAACACTGGGAGTGAACTGTTTATTAATGATATGTATTGCTGAGACATAAGAACTGAAGGAATCAGGTATTGGTGATTTGACCTTCTGTACACCATAATTGTACAGGACTTGACATGGAAGTCAGGCTGTTTAGATCCTAACACAATTTTTTTATTTTTTATTTTGTGTATGGTACTTACACATGAGCTGACATAGAGATCGATATGACATACACGGTTATGCCTTCTCCATGTCAGTCTCTGTCACTGTTAAGCGCTCCGAGACTCTATCCTGCGTGGAGGGCATTATATAAATGAAAGTCGACGTTGTTGTATGACTTGTGCGTGAACTGGTAACTTACACGACTTGTGTAGCAAGTGTACAGGAGCAGAAAAGAAACATCAGTAAAGCTGTGCACAGATGTAACTCGTTCGGCAGCTCTAACTGTGTGTGGTAAAGATGCGAAAGAGTTGACATGCAGATATGAGTGACTTGGTATTATTCTAGTTAACACAACAGTTTGCTTCCCTTACTCTGAAGGCAATATCACTGGAGATTGCATGATATGCTTGAAAGCACTAATCAATTCTTGGCTTTGACCGCAGTTGCTCACACTGTTCAGAATTGCAGCGAAACGTGTCCAATGTTTTCTTTAAGGTTCATGTCTCAGTGTTTAGTCTTTTCCATTCCTATAAACCAGGAACAGGAGGAGGCCATTCAGCCCATCGAACCTGTCACACACTAAAACTGTGATTATACTTAATATGATTTCCTAAGTGACCACTAATTCACCCAGGACTACACAGGTGAAAGATCTTAGTTTCAAATTCAGATGCAACTTTGGTTAGAAGTGTTTATTTAGTTCTCCAATCAGCAATTCATATTGACCTTGAATTTAAAATTAGCACTGTAGGGTTGTGCAGTATTTTATTACCAAGGAAACACTATTGTTGCTATGGGCCTGAATCGGTCTTTGTTACGCAATGAAGGTGTGTGATGAAAAACAATGGATTTCTGGAAAAACCAAATGTTTATAATGTGATGCAATTCAATCCATTAAAGTACACCGTGAATCGAAACATCTGAAAAGACAGCTCAGCTAAGCTCAGCTCCACTATATTATACCATAAATCGTTAAGTATGAACTGAATCTGACATTAATCTGATGCCAGAACGTGAAGTGACATTTGTGTCTAATTTAAGTTAAAGCTTATGATTTTTGAATCTGTTACTGGAACCTGTTCAACTACATATATAATAACAATCCTTGCATTTGATACAGCGCCTTATCACGTCTTCGAGACGTCTCAAAACGCTTCACGGAAAACACTGTAAAATTAATTGACTGTATATTTTGCGGGCAAAATGCAGCAGCCAATTGCGATATGATGTTTCTAGTTATTCTTCATTTCTGCTTGATAAATCAGTAAACAGACCACGTCACTCTGCGTTTGATTCTCAAGACTGCAATGGGAAATGTTCCAACTTTCATGTTAACATCAAGGACGACCAGGCTGCATAGAACGAAAATGGTTTAGAAAAAGAGCAAAGCTTCCTCCACTCGGCTCCTCCAATGTGTCTCAACTCAATCTCGAACTGCTGCATCAGTGCAATATTGCCTCATCCAGTAATCTAATCCTTGCATTTGATATAGTGCTTCTCACGTCTTCTAGACGTCTCAAAACGCTTCGCAGAATATATTGTAAAGTGTACTGTATATTTGTGGGCGAAACGCGGCAGCCAATTGCGCACAGCAGCGTCCCACAAACAGCCGTGGATTGAAGTGACCAATTTTATTGTTTCGTTTTTTCTTGAGGGATCATTATCAGGCGTGTGGAGTAAGGAAACTTGCCCAAGGTTTCGCCCTCATCGCCAAATCATTTTTGTACAAGAAAAAAATGAATCTGTTTGTTCAGGCTGCTTTCATCCCGGAAGCAATAGAACAACAATAACAACAACTTGCATTTATATAGCGCCTTTCACGTGGGGTAGTGTCCGGAGCACTTGAAATAGAACACTGGGGCAACTCGTTAAATCACCCAATGCTTCCATCTGGTTATTATTGTGAACACTGATTCATATATTCATTTTGAATGAATTATGAGCGCTTTGTTATAAATATGTCATGTAATACTGTGTAACAGTGAATGCAGACCTGGCTGAGGAGCAGCAATGTTTCCTTGACGACTGCATACCACCAGACTGCCGGTGACACTGACCAACTGAAATGAAGCCACACTTTCAGACACAATAATTGTTGTGGTCCCACGTGTTACATGGGCCCAACTCAGTGACACGGAGAGTTGATTTGAGCTCCAGTGGTGTTCCTTATTTAAACTAAGTCTGTGCCAGAGTGACTTGAGCATGTGCTGATCTGATACCAGGCAATGGATATCCACGCCTGACAGTGTGGTTTGAACCGATCTGGGCCATGCAATGATGTTCTTCACAATAACAACAAGATCACCAACAACTTGCAATTATATAGTGCTCTTCAGGCAGAGTAGCGTCCCAGAGTGCTTAAATAATGAGATGCCTACTTACCAAGTAAACGTTAATGGTCATTACACTTAATTATTACTATTATGAATATAAGTGTTGCTATTATTACACTTAATTATTAATGTAAATATTACATTCTCCAAATATTCTTCCGTGCGTTGATCGTAGTAAGGTTGTAGAAAGCAATAGGGAGACAATTTGTAGAAACACCACAGTAACATAACTGGCTTTGTTACAGGAAAAAAAGATTGCAAATAGATTGAAATTAATAGACCTGGTTTATAGCAATGGCACAGATTGAAAATTTAGTTTTAATTGAATATTTTTAAAAATCACTGACGTTGATAAACTGGGAGCTGTTACAGTGAGACAGATTGTAGATACGTTGACAAAATTAGAGATAGGTTTATAATCTTACTGATAGATTACAAACCAATTGAAATAAATAAAGCTATTTTCTTTTTACAGTGAGATAGATTTCACACACTTGTAATAAAGTGTAATCTTTACAGAGCAGGATTTAAGACTGAATAAAAAATCTATTAATTTGAGCAGTTTGGTTATATGACAAGCCCATCAAACTGTAAGGCTGGGTTTACTACAAAAAGTAGATTACACAATTTTAAATTCAGCTTGGTGTCTTACATTGAGGTATGAAATTGCACGCTCATATTCTAGTTCCGAGCTGAATAAGTCTACAGTGCCAATTGTCCACAGTTTGATATTACAGTATCATACGTACATCTCTATTGTGAGTGGGCCAGGTATTCCCATTAAACATGGGTCGGTTTCACTGACGCATTTCAAATCTTTGGGGCAATTATGTGCAAGTCCCTCAGTGAACGTCACACGCATCAGTAACTTATTGTGTGATGCATTATGAAAAATGCAGTTCAAAAACCGGATGAATTTGTAGTTATACTGCAATTTATTCCACATGAACACCAAGAACCAAACTACCAAGTGTAATTGCAGCTTTACCCTGGATGTTATTGAGGCTAACGTTGACCCTGAGTACATGATAATGCACAATGCAAGGAACAGCTTGACATCTAACATGCTCTGCACGGCATCTTGACCAACTCGACAAACATCTCACATTACTGAGGACAAAAACATGATCTGGGTGCCCAAGAACTGATGAATATCCCCCCTTTGTCCAATCCTTGTGACACACCCGGCAGTTATGGCTTGGAGATATTAATTTCCCACTCTATTACCAAGCTCCTATGAGAAAATAAAAATTGATTTTAAAGAGTTCCAAAAATAGGAACGAAAATAATGAAAATTTACTGGTTGATAAAAACAGATTGCTGCAAATTCAAAAATTTAATTCTTCAACAACAAAAACCCTCACACATAACATAATTTTAAGGTGCTTTAATCAATCCTTATTTGATATTATAATTTATTCCACTATTAAGCGCTCCAAGTGACATACATTTGTCTCTATTTGTGTTTTATTTCTCTTTTCTTTTGCTCTTTTTTTCCCAATGTTTCTTTCCTTTCCTTTTACATTACTGATTTAATGTGCCATTGTACAGAAATGTGCAGAAGATTATTTTAGTTGCTGAATAAGAGAGATATGTTATCGGGAAGCTACGCTTTCTTCGAACACTTATGCAATAGCTTTACTGCCCTCTAGTGATGCTGAAGAAATCACAACATTTTTAGCGAATATGATCTGAATAAAGACAAACTTGGGCCTAACGTGTACAATTCGCAATGGGTAGCACATGAAAATGGGTGCAACCATGTAAGTACGTTATACATTATAAATGTTTAGCAAAATTATGAAAAGCAGAAATAAAAAAAGGTTGCAGATGTTAGCAAAAGCAACTTGTGCAGTGTGACCACAAATATAGTCACTCCACTTCACAGAAAATGCTGTGAAGGGCTTTGGGATGTCCTCGCGATGTGAAAGGAGCTATACCAAATGCAAGGCTTATTATTATTATTATTATTATTATTATTTGTGAAGTCTGTTAATTGCATACTAACTCAGTGTGGACGAGTCCACATCAAAATGCATAGGTTTTGATGCGATCTCACTCCTGATTTGTGTTGTTTATTGTTTCTTCAAAGTTAACCTTGCTGCCACAGATATCATATTCCTCGTCTGCTGTGTGCCATTTACAGCCTCTCTCTATCCTCTGCCCAGCTGGATCTTTGGAGATTTTATGTGCAAATTTGTTAACTACTTGCAACAGGTGAGTGAAAGTGTAAACTTTGAGTGAGTGTACAGGGATAGGATGCTCAACCCGCCTCCCCATCCCTCCAGAGTCTAGGTCAATGAACATTCATTGCTTCCTAAGATTATCTGACATCCTAGGGTCACCAAGCCTTGGCTCTTGCCAACCTATGCCTAATACTCTCAATTTGGTTTGAATACTCTTGAGCATGGTGATAGGTTTCTGCATGTGTCAGACACCCAGATAACCAAAAAAAATCATCTTGATACATCACCAATCCAGCAAAAGCAATGTTAATAAACCAGGGAATCTGAAGCAAAGCATCCTTTCAGGTTGCCATGTCCAGATGACGAAAGGTTGAATCGGGGAGAGGGAGTGGGGGAGTCTATCACTTGATGATTCTTAATGAAACTTAAAACAATTGGCACTTATCTGTGCAAAATAGATATCAGGCATCAAAGTGATCAGCAAATCAATGCTGTAATCATCCTCTACACTTAAGAGCTCTGGGACGCTACCCTGTGTGAGGGGCGCTTTATAAATGCAAGTTGTTGTTGTTGTTACACTTACAACTCTTAGTTATTGAATACATAGCAAGTCAAACCTCAGGTAGTTCTTGTGTTCAGCAGAATCAGTTGCCTTGTTGAATGCCTGTTTAGCAGGAATCAGTCTTTCATTCAGAAGCTTCCCTCACTAGTCCTTGAAATAATAATAATAATAATCCTTGCATTTGATATAGCGCTTTTCACGTCGGAAGGACATCCCAAAGCACTTCACAGAACACACTGTAAAGTGAATTGACTGTATATTTGTGGGCGAACGCGGCAGCCAATTGCACACAGCAATGTCCCACAAACAGTCGTAGATTGAAAATGACCAATTTATTATTGTTTTTGGTTTTGGAGGGATTATTATTAGGCTCTGTGTGGAGTAAGGAAACTTGCCCAAGGTTTCGCCCTCTGCCTGGAATTGAACTCAGGTCTCTCACTTGCAAAGCGAGTGCTCTAACCACTGAGCTACAGGACTCCACTGTATGGACAACATCCCAGCATTGCATTGACTGCCTATTATATTATTATACTATATTGACTGAGAGTGGTAGTGTACAATGTGCGAATCAATCTACTTATCAATAACAACAACTTGCATTCATACAGCGCCCCCCATGCAGGATAGCATCCCGATCGCTTGCCGGGGGGGGGAGGTGACCATAGTTACAGTCGAAGAGGAAGGTTTTTGGGTGCAATTTGAAGATGGGGAAGGAAGGGGCAAGACGGAGGGATAAAGAGTGTGCCAGAATTTTGGGGCGTAGTGGCTTATCCTATCAGTAACTTTTTCTAATAATTGCTTTTATATCCCTTATTTCTGTAGGTTACAGTCCAAGCAACCTGCATTACTCTGACTGCAATGAGTGCCGACAGATGTTACGCTACTGTTTATCCACTCAAGTCACTCCTTCATCGCACTCCCAAAGTTGCCATGGTGGTCAGCACATGCATATGGCTGGGTATGTGCTCCAGTATAATACCCAGCATGTCCATCCATCTGTCCGACTGTTTCACTGCTCCAAGCAAAGGTGGTCAATTAATTTATTCAATGAAGATTGTCTCCTCTTCTACATTCAGCGCTTTGGGACATCCTCCCAACGTGAAAGACGCTCTATAAATGTAATGTTGTTGTTGTTGATTCCTGTGCATTGGCCCCAGTCATTTCTACTAAGCCACTGGGAATGCTGTTCCGAGCTTGTAATCTCATCAAAACGTTCAGATATTAGACAGAAATATAAAAGAAGTAATACTAAAAATATTTTGAGCATATGTGCACTGAGGCTCCCCCAGTATTTATTTGACCGGTGTAAATACATTGCCCGATGTAGTATTGAGCCCTGCCCAGCATGTGCTATTTGTATTGTCCAGGCGACAATATATTTGAATTCTTGGAATGTGACTCATGACTTACACTGTCTGTTTTTATGAGGGAATAGACTCAGGAGTCTATTAAATAGCAATAGTTTTAGGAGTACGTTTTAAAGAATAGAAGATTTTGGCGATTTTTATGATGATCATAAACATAATCTGGATCCTTCAATTTAACTGCAGCCTAATTATCACTTCCTGATCTCTGGTGTCTTCCAATGTTTGGTGCCAACAACAATAATAATAATCCTTGCATTTGATACAGCATCTTATCTTCCAGATGTCTCAAAGAACTTCACAGAATATATTGTAAAGTGTAGTGATTGTATGTTTTGTGAGCGAAACGTGGCAGCCAATTGAGTGATGTAAGCACATGATGTACCTCTTTAACATCGGTTTCCTTTGATTCAAGGCTCCTTTGCTCTGTCCACCCCGATTGTTATATACCAGAAGATTGAAAAGGGATACTGGTACGGGCCCAGGACATACTGTGCGGAGGACTTTCCTTCAGTCACCCATCAGAAAGGCTTCATACTTTACCACTTCCTCACTGCCTACCTTCTGCCTCTCCTCACCATTTCCCTGTGCTACTCCTTCATGGTTAAGAGAGTTGGGCAGCCAGTCGTTGAGCCTGTTGACAACAATTATCAGGTGAGTGTAGTGTTGGGTCCAGAAGTACCGTACTGTTAACAGTACAGTTAACCACTCTGTTAAAAACAACTTATTCTCTTTGCTGAAATTTATATATTAGGACCCGTGATCAGAGAAGCCAAAGTCACTTGTATTTTACATTCAAAGCTTGTTTACTTAACAAGTCAGGAAAGTTGCATTAGTTCAATCAATAAACCTAGTAACACTAGGCAAGTTACTAACAACAATATTGACTGATGCTCATGCCTATAGCAATGTTACTGTAATGACAATATCAAAGTTCAGAAATTCATAAGCAGTAGATGAAAAATCTCAAGACCTCTTGCTTCAGATAAAAATTCTTGAACTAGCAAGCCTGGTCTCTATAACTGGCACGCTGATAATCATAGGCATCAAATTAAGGAATCAAAAGTCCTTGTCTTTAGCAGTTGTGTTTCTTGTATATTGTATTGATAACATATTGTTTCCTGGATCTTGCTTCTTGTATCTTCATTTTTCATCTCTTATTTTCTTCTAATATTACTGTAATCAATAGTTTTGTTCGCCATGATCAAAAATGTTTGTCTTTTTTCTTCTCTTTTACTATCTTCTCCCAGTACTGGAATCAATGTTTTTTAATCAATAGCTGAAAGGCAGGAGGTCTGTCTGATTCCCACCTCCTTCCCAGCCAGAGGGAATCAGTCCTAAACAACGAGGCAACCAACAAGCGCTGTGAACAATGTTTAATTTAAACATGTTATCATTTTATCTTTAAGAGTTTAACACTCGTGTATTTATGTCTATTTCTAAACCAGGTTCAGCTTTTGTCTGAGAGGACAATAGCCATGAGAAGCAAGATTTCCAAAATGGTGATGGTCATTGTGCTGCTGTTTATGATCTGCTGGGGTCCCATTCAGCTCTTCATCCTCTTCCAAGGATTCTATCCCAAATTCCAGGCCAATTATGAGACATACAAGATCAAGACCTGGGCTAACTGCATGTCATACGCCAATTCGTGCATCAACCCCATAGTGTACGGGTTCATGGGAGCCAGCTTCAGGAAGACCTTCAAGAAGGCATTTCCGTTTATGTTTCGGAAGAGGGTGAGAGATATCAGCATGGCCTCTGGCACCTTAATGCAGAAATGAAGTTCGTCACTGCAGAACCAGAAGTGAGATGAATTATAACGAATGAACAACAACTTGCATTTATATAGCGACATTCACGTGGGGTAACTTCCCGGAGCGCTTATGAACACTGTTGAGCAGACATATACCCAGACCTTGAGTTGCTGTGGCAAATGTATCTCCAGGAGAATGTCCCACCATTTGTTTATTGGCGAATAGAGCTCATCGAGCTCTTGTAGCATTTACTGGTTTGTCATCCACTCAACGTACATCACTATCATTGAATCGAATGGATATAGCTAACTGCTTGCAAACTGGTTTGCCAGAAAATATTATTCTTGGATAGGGAATTATGTAAACTAGAAAATAGAGCCAGACAATGTACAAATCTTTTCATCTCAGCACACTGAATCATTCATTGAATACTTCAGCTGAAGCAAAAACAACACAAACACTTTAAAAAGAATCATTAGGACTCGCACAATGTTTTGCTGTCTCTTGAAGACATTCAGTGTTGGATTGGCTATAAATTGATATTGCTTCCTGCAGAATTACTGCACTTTGAACAGGTTTTTTTTTTGACATTCTATAGGTATGTATAGTCAAACGTTTTATACAATGAGAACAAATTGAAAGCAAGTTGATCCATTTGAATTCTCTGCAAGGGCAAAGAATAGGAAATAGTTTGGTCTAATGGGATTCTACCTTTAATTTAAATTAAAAGGAAGCCGTTTGAATCACCCAAATCCCATACCATGGAGCTGATTAAGATCACTCGAAACCTTTCTGACTGAAATGAGTTAGAAATAATTTGTCTTTTTATAGTTCCAGATAATGGGAGCTGAAATTAATATTTTTACACAATGAAGTTATAATCCTAATCCTAATTATTGTGCATAAGGTAAAGACATAGTGTGCAATTTGGCTGCTGCATTTCTCCCACAAAATATACAGTCAATTCACTTCACAGTATATTCTGCGAAGCATTTTGACACATCTCAAAGACATGATAAGGCACAATAAAAAAAGCAAGGATTATTACAGTATTGAATAAAAAGTGCCAATCAGAGGGATAACATTGGTAGAGGTTTTTGGAGCTATTTGCTCAGTTGCTGAGGTCCAGGCTATAGAATGGTGTGTTGCCCAGAGAAACCTAAAGATTTGGAGCAAGTAAAACACAGAAGAAATAAAGTGTAATAAAATGATCTTAACTCAATTCTGCTGTCTATGAATATTATGCTGGCCTACCTTCACGTTGCTTTCATTCTAAATCCACACTGAACATCATCAAATTGTTTTTAATTCAAGTTAAAACATATTCCTAACATGACTTACCTTTCAGACATTGACATGTCATGACTATTTAGAACTTTGGGAGGATAAGATGAGGTACTGTGACAGTAATGCCAGAAACCATTTATTTTTTGTCTCTTGTTTGTCTGCCACAGAAATGATGTGCTCATTGCTTCCAAAAAAAAAGGTAGTTGTTCAAACAGAACTTTCCTTTTACGTGATGAATAACACCAGAATATTCTGAACATTTTCTTTGGCAGTCAACAGAGGCTGGAGCTGAGAATCCAAGAGAAACATGAGTCACAGAGGGAGGCCTTGGAAAGTAACTGCTAAACATGGAAGTTATACTGTATAAGTTCAGGGCAGTTAATCATTCATTTAGTGTGATCCCCAGTTAAGTATCATTATTGAGTTAGCATGAACACTAACACTTACTGAAGTCACCCAGTTAGTGTGATTGCCAGCTAGTGTTCTCCCTGTGGAATGATTCCTTCTGCTCACGAGCCAATGAAACATTCTGCTTTTGTGATCGTTGCTTAAATTGACCGTTCTGTTGGTGCGATTACTATAATTGCCTGCTACACTGATTTCTGGGATCACTGGTTTAAAAGTACCATTACGTTTGCCTGATCACTGGTTAGCATGAAACAGAAACACCGCAAATTCACTGCCTCAGGTCAATGATCAGGTAAGCCGCTTTATCAGAAATCTCTAGGTATGGGACTCAGTCCAGGGGATGGAGAATACAGATCAGGGCAATGTGGAATATATTTCCCTCTCCCAGGACCGCTACCTCTCTGATTCTTTTAATCTCTCAGTTCTGGAATTGTGTCTGCTTGTGTTGTTTAAGTTATTATAAGCTTATTATTGTCTCCACGCCACTTACATGCTTTTCCCCTTGACCCACTAACATTGTCCTGGTGTCCACCACCAACTTCAAATCTAAGTGATAACAAATCCTGCAGAATTACTGAACCCGAATGCATTTTCCTTTTGTGTGTCTCTCTCTCTCTCTCTCTCTCTCGCCACGGTCTGTGTCTTTTAAAAAACAATCCACGGCGGAAAATTAATTCCCAAGGAAAACTCTCATCCTGGGAACCAGGTAAAACTCTCAGAATGTCAGCAATAAATGAAACCCGATCTGCCAGTAATGTTTAATAAAAAACACTGTAGATTTAACAGTGAAGATAAACCAGTGAGTATTAATTTCTGGTTCGAGATCCAACATAAACACTGAATCACTGTAGCCTCCACTGAATTGACTGGAAATGACTTGAAAAGTGATTCATAAGGGCTGAAAATAGAGACTTCCCTTAAACAAACACTTCTCCAGCTGGAAAAATGCAACAGGCCGGTTTAGAGTGAATCACAAGCATCGAATGGAATAAATTTGCTGTCCCTTTGCTGAGAATCTAAAAGGGCTGAGAAAAAAAGATTGAGATGTCTAGAATGTTTGAATACAGGATAACAGAGTCTTCGTTTTCCCATGGTATGTAAAACCGACTGTATTACATGAAGGACAGTACAGAACCTGGACAATTTACACAGTATTTAATCCAGCGCTTCAGATGACTTTGTTAACTCAGATAATCATTTTTTTTTCTAATGGGTTCAACTTAACGCATTTGCAAAGGTACAAGACGTTGGAGGGATATTGTCGGGCAGGGGGGTTACTGTTCCCAAACTCTGTCTTTTATAGATGCATCCTTTGATAGAACTCTCCGATTTTAAGAGGGAAATACAATTTTATATTTGAAGGGTGTTCCTAAATGTTTCTTTTTAAGAGAAAAAGCACCACTGTGATGACCTACAGGGGGAGCCAGAGCAGACTGTAACAGTCTGTTTGGGAAGAAATTCCCATGCAGAGTGTTTGTACACATCAGAGTATGGTAACTATTACTGCCCTATAAATGGACTGTCAAATGGATTCGATCGTTACAAACGTCCTTGTGACTAAACACTGCCATTCTGTGAGTCACGGTCCACGTATAAACCAAAGTAAATAAGCCATTAGGATTGCCCACAATTGCGCGGCCATTTCGAGCCTCCAGCTTCACTGTTTCACACACAAAAAAATTATTTATGAGAACGGGCGTTGTTTTTCGGTGATTGGAATCGATGTGATTTACGTGGGTGTAAGTCGTTTACTGAAAGCAAGATGATTTGGCTGCTTAAGGGAGACCTCTCGCCAACAGGACTTCTTTGCATATGATGCAGGCTAACCATGAGGCCCCCTTTCAAAAACATTGCAAGGACTTTAGTCATTTTAATATCCCATTTATTTTCCTACTTCTGAATTTATTTGATTCGAACATTAAGTGCTGGTGACATCAGCAGGGAAGTGGCACTCTCAATGAGCCACACACACAAATTAGTACTGAGACTCGATCCAAGTTATTCATCTCCCGGGAGAGGTGAATGAGCCCAGGTCAAGCTTCTGGAGAAATTTAGGTCTATGAACCTGTGGAAGCTCAGGGAGTGGGAGGAAAAACTCTTGAGCTGTCAGTCTGAAAGTGCAGTCAACATAATTCAATCCTAAATGGTTTCATTCCACAGATGAGATTGCTGTAGTCCCAGCCACACAGCTACCAGTGTTCTTTGTAATATCAGATCCTCTCTGTCTCTGGTTATTTGTATAACTCAATACTATTCAATCAAAACCGATATTCTATCCTTTGTTTTACGGGAGGTTTTTGACATAGCATCAACTGCTTTTGATGGAAGTATTTTCTGAATATAAATTACTTCTCAGAGAAACAAACCTTTCTTTTTTTATCTGTATTTTCCCTTGAGGTTTGTTCATTTTGTTCACATCTTCTAATCATTTAACTTGACAAACTTGCTTGCATCTATGATATAGATGATTTTGATCATTTTATAAACATATTCCAATTGCAATTACCCAAGTCTTCTCTTCATAACTCGGAATATTAAGTCATGGCATTATCCATGTTACTGCTCTCCAAATCCTGTTCTTTTGAAGGTCTCTCTCTCTCTCTGAGAAGCAGTTTATGAAGTACACGTATATATAGTGTATTGCCCTCCACAATACTGGCAATCCAATAATCCTGGTCCCAGATACCATAAAACATCAACTCCTACATCTCTGTAACCTGTATTATCTTTCACTTAAGGAGAAATCCTACACCCTCTCCATCACATTCAACACACATAACTCCTAAGGTAAAGAGGAAAAAACTAAGGGTATTTTTTAATGCATTTATAAGACATATTCTAATGTATAACAAATGCCTGATAGTCAAAATGCCTGAGAGTCGGGTGAAGGCAATACATATGGTTTCCCACAAGCAATCCGGCTTTCACTTTCCCACGGTTTGTATCACCTGAAGGATTTCTTTAAATTGCTCCCTTTCTCTCAAACCTTTATCCTAAATGAACGCCCAACTCATGGGTCATAAGAATTGCCAAGAGCGTGTTTAAATCCTCACACCCATTAATTAGTCTCGCTGTTATTCTTCAAGGTGCCACTCAATTAAAAATATAAGTCATTAAATGTAAGTGGTAATAGTTCACATTGATCATCAGTTTGTTGATGGGACACTTGATTTGGGTTAGTGCTGGATAGGATAATGAATTACATGGCAACATTGCAGATCTTAACCGAGAATATCACTGGAACTGTGATGGTTTTCAGGACAAGATGAGATCAAGCAATTTATCAAACATTTTGTCGCTAAACACTATATCAGTAAATAGACATTTTGTTTTAATTGAAGCTTGTTTTTTTTCCCAAAAAAACACATTTGTCTTAACATAGAAAAAGAGACTGAATCGGATTTACTGAGGATACTTACAGCACAAACCTCATCCAAAAAATACTTGTTGTGCCTCAAATACATTTCCTTTGCTTGTAAAATTCTCTTGTTGTAAAATTTCATCGGCAGATTCTTTGTGTACTGAAAAGTTTGGTCTTTAAATTAGCTGAAGCCAAGAAATTCCTATAATCCGTGGCTTTAATTCCTCCTGATGGCAATTCAGTTCCTTCACTGTCAGATTCAGTAATTCTTAGAAACCAGAGAGGTAACCGTAATCGACTGATTTAATTAAAAATGTCCCCTAAAATAAATCAATAAAGCGAAAGGATTTTTAATGTCAGTAATAAATCTTCATTGTGATCTTGTGATAACTGTTCCTGTCAACAGAGTCTAACACTCTTTACGCTTTCCATGTCGGTTCAATGTGAAAACAGCACCAAATTAACCCTTGAAAACCAAACATAAATTAGGTTCCTGCACCGAAGATCACTTATTGAAGTAGTTTTACCATTGCAAATGATTCGTCGCGGCTCAGAAATAACCCCTTTAAAGTGCTTTAGCGTAGAGGTTTGCCCTTTAGTTTATTGACATTATTAAGAGGGCTGAGTGCAATCACAGGAATCCACCAAAGCTGGAAAATGTGGCAGAGAAGATCAAATCTATACAGATATTTTTTAAAATTAAAAAAAACTTGAACAGGTTGACACAAGTAGGCGATTTGACTCGATCTGCAAGCGTTCGGTGGAAGGATGTGGATAGAGATTTATATTGGATTAGAGATTAAAACAAGTTTACTACAAATCGGTAAGTGTGTGAACCCAGCTCCCTTGTAAACTAATAAATTCTGATTAAATTGATGCAATACTCATTGAGGGAGGGAGTGGAAGGTTATAAGGAAACTCATTCATTCCCATGGAAGTTAGGAAAGGGAATACTGTAATACTGCAAACTGATAACTTGTTGCTCCAAGAGAAAAGGGCTCAGTGATGAGTTACCAGTAGTGGTTATTTATATATAAATGTGGCTGGGATGTTGGTAGCATGATGCCTTAATTGATAGTGACAAGTTAAGACAGGGTCAAGTTATAAGAACTTTACTGTAGTTACTTTGAAGTTAGGTGATTAAGAAGGGGTGGAGGAAGAAGAGGATTTGTACAGAGAATAGGCGTGATGAACATAATGACCTATTTCTCGTTTCAGTTTTTTTATTATGAGATAAATCAAGAAGTTGTGGTTAGGTGACGTCAAATGTGGACTTTAAATGCCTGCACATTGTCAGCAGACCACTGTGAGACAGAGTTAATGAATGGAATCATCGACAAAAGAATGGATAAAGTTAGATTGTGAGTGATTAACATGGAGAAGTAACAGAAACCCTATTGATGCAAAAAAACAAAGCTTATAGGCTGCAGTGAGAGAAAAGAAAGCAGATAACTTTAATGGAATCCCATAGGTAGTAATATGTTTTTTTAAAAAAAACAAGGATTGTTATTATTATAGCACTCTATCAAGATGTCTCAAAGAGCTTCACTGCATATACTGTAAACTTGTGATGGTGTGTATTTCGTGGGCTAATGTGGTGCCAATTTGTACATAGCAATGTCCCACCTGTTGAAGCCACATTAAGGATATGTGTAACTTATTATGGACAACCTGTCATTATTAATTTTATGCTACAAACTATTCACATTTTTATGTTTCAAAGAAAACTCAAATCCTTGCAAGTGTTGTGGAACACTGAAAGTATATCCCTTTTTTGTTTGCCTTAGTTAAGCTACTTCAAATCAGGCCTCACTCCTGTGGTAACGAGTTGGTATGATGAGCTAATGCACTGCTTTAAAGCAGTATGCTAGCACAGTGGAGTGCTGAATATCAAGATATATGGGTTTACTGGCATAATTCTCCATACAGAT